AAAAATACAAAAGATTTGTGTAATTAGGTGAAAAAACTATTAATTGCAGTTTCATCTTGAAAAACGTAAAAAGTAAATGCTATACATCAAATTCCTTATATTAAGCAAACCAGACGCCACAAATTTCTAATTTTTTTTTACACCCCGATAAGTAGACTTTAGCCTACTGGAGATGATTCGGGAAGGAGAGGTTAAAGGGGCGGTAGGACTGCTGACAGCAGGGTATGTAAGGTCACAATACCACGTCGGAACACACATTTACACAGACGGCTCCAAGGACCCGGTGACAGGACACATCTCAGCAACCTTCTCTAGACATACAGTTCACCCAGAAAAAAAAAAGAACAGGATTCTACACCAAGCCATAACAGTCAACGTTCCTTGGGTCCCAGCTCACGTGGGGGTGCCTGGGAACGAGATGGCAGATGAAGGAGCCCTACATGAAAACACCAACATCATAGTTCCAATGTCAAAATCTGAAATGAAGTCACTCATCAGAATGAAAATAATAGACAAATGGCAAAAAGAATGGACAGAAGGGGGAAAGGGGAGGAATATATACTCCATCCACCCACTGGTTTCAATCAGGAATAACCACAAAGGACTCTCAAGACGATCAGAAACCATAATCACCCATCTGCGAATAGGACACAATGGCCTCAATCACTCTCTCCAAAATATAGGAAAACACAACACAGGTTCATGTCCCAACTGTCTTGCAGCAGAAACTACAGATACATCCTCCTTCAATGTCAAACCTATGAACATCAAAGGCAAATGCTCAGAAGAGCGATCACAATCCCTGAGAATAAGCTTCACCCTTTCCAACTTACTCAAAAGCTGTCCAGAAAAAACTGTAATTCACTTAGCAATAAATTCCTTCCTCCATTCATGTAGACTTGAGAGCAGAATCTAGAACACCTCCATAGCATCATCACACCCCAGCCCAGTAGGTGGCGGTAATGTACCTAATACTGGTATGCATACTGCCATAAAACCCCAATGAAGAAGAAGAAGTAGGAGCTAATCAAGATTAAACTCAAACAATGTCCAGCCCTGTGATCATAAAAAAAAACATCCCCCTCTCTGTACCAACTCACTTCCCTTCTACGTTACATATCAGTGGCACCAGACTCAAACAAAATCATGAGTTGAGGAAGGAGTTTCTTTAAATGAAATCCCAACCAAACCCTTCTTATCCAAGTACTGTAGTAGGCCTATGTAATGAAACTCTATCCTCTGTCCTCTACTGCAGTGATTGTTCCTATTACATCCGGGTGCTCTTATCAGTTCCTCCCACACTCTCCTTCCCAACCAGGGGCCCTAATAGGGGACGGACAGGAAACAGGAAGTGTAGACAGTGCCATGTTGTGCATTGGGCTATGTCCCAAATGGCACCGTATTCCATACATAATGCACAAAAGTAGTGCACTACATAGGGAATAGGGTGCTATTTGGGATGCATCCAGGGTGTCATGCTTATAATCAATGGGGCATTTTCCCAAAAGGGCAACAAAGATCTTATTCCGTACATTATTACCAGAATTTGCAACTTGGCAGTTGTAAGCTTAGCCTTTCACTACTGCAGACAGAAGGAAGTGTTGTGGTTGCCGAATAATTCCCCATACATCAGTCCTGAGTCAGCGCCAATTCTTCTTTGGAACTTGAAATGGTTTGAACTTTAAAGTACATAATGAAAGAGGGTGATGATCACTGCTCTTTGGTTTCAGTTCAATTCAAATCCGGTAATTTATTGATCCAATTAAAAATAATTATTCTAATGATGCAACATCATCAGGTTATAACCATTATGACTGTCTCTAAGTAGAGGACAATGTCTCAACCTGCCTCTTTCTTTAATGCCCACAAAAATGCAGTTGACAAACTGTGGCCTCATGTTCTTTCATGTTTCAACGCTTACAATAGGCAATCACATGTACCTCACAACCAAATCACCCCTTGTTATATTCCAACAATGTTTGCTTACTTACACCCCTTATCTTTTCTAGGACGCGCTTGTACGATTTATAATGGAGGATTGCCCGCTTGATCAAAGCAACAGCTTGTTTGGACAGGTGGAGATATCACACTTACCCTGTCAGACGTCATACAGTCAAGGTAACACATGGACGACTTGTGCTCAATACACTCCAAACACACCCTGGCAGGGTGAGTTTGAATAGACGGAACTTGACACTGTCATAGAGGAGGTGCATTTATGTGGAACCCCCTGATATCCTTAGATATTATTAAGCAATAAGGCTTGAGGGAGTATGGTATATGGACAATATACCACGGCTAAGGGCTGTTCTTACGCACAATGCAACGCGGAGTGCCTGGATACAGCCGTTAGCTGTGGTATATTGGCCATATATCACAAACTCTGAGGTGCTTTATTGCTGTTATAAATAGGTTACCAACATACATTTGAAGTCGGAAGTTTACATACACCTTAGCCAAATTCATTTTAACTCAGTTTATCACAATTCCTGACATTTAATCCTAGTATAAATTCCCTGTTTTAGGTCAGTTAGGATCACCACTTTATTTTAAGAATGTGAAATGTCAGAATAATAGTAGAAATAATTATTTATTTCAGCTTTTATTTCTTTCATCACATTCCCAGTGGGTCAGAAGTTTACATACACTCAATTAGTATTTGGTAGCATTGCCTTTAAATTGTTTAAATTGGATCAAACGTTTCGGGTAGCCTTCCACAAGCTTCCCACAATAAGTTGGGTGAATTTTGGCCCATTCCTCCTGACAGAGCTGGTGTAACTGAGTCAGGTTTGTAGGCCTCCTTGTTCGTACACGCTTTTTCAATTCTGCCCACACATTTTCTATAGGATTGAGGTCA